GTTGTGGCCCGGCGGCCGCCTGCACAAAGCCGTGGCAGGCAACGGGATATAAGTAGGGCTGGTGGGGCTGAAAGAGCTGCCGAAAATCAGAAAGGGGGATGAAGGGTGGGGAAGGGCAGCCCCGCCTCCTTTCTCTCCATCCCCCGCCTCCTGGGGCTTCATGGATGAGGAGTAGCTGGGGCAGCTCCATCGGAAGGGAGTCGGAAATAGGCCCATTCCAAAAGATTGGCTCCTGCTTGGCTAAAAGAGCAGTTTCGGGTGCCAGGCTCCATCGAGCGGGAACCTGGGCTCCCCCAGGGATGGGACTTCACCGGGCCCTGTTGCCACCCGTGGCTCTTCCCTGGGAAGTGCCCAATGGGAGCTGGCAGAGCTGTTTAGCGAGCAGTTGGGTTGCAAAACGTGTGATATTTTGCAAAAACAGGAGATAAGTGGGCCTTAATTAACAAGGGGATATCAGTGTTATGGGCAACATGACTCGTGAGTGCTGCTTGTACTTGGGAGCTGGCTGGCTCAGAAAGGCCCCTTGCCAAGTGTAGAGTGAGGGTTGTTCTGGGGACAAGACTCATCATTTTGGCCCTTTCCTGGCTGGACAAGGGATTGCTCCCTGGAAAACTTCAGCTGTGGAGATTTCCTCCTCTTTTTTCCTTTATTTTTACCTGCTGACAATGCCGGCGCGGGATGGAAACTCTTCTGCAAAGGGTTTTTCAGGGGGGCTCTGTGCCTTCGTGAAGCTCCAGGAGAGAAGGGTTAATGCTTGCCTTGGGTTTCCTGCAAAGACATTGGGATAAATCTATTAGCAGGGTTTCAAACATCCAATCTGCCTTTGCCAGGACCTCATTTTCAGTTAGCTGAGTGATATATTTATTAATTAGTGAGCCTTGACATAAGGTAGCAAAACGTGTGTAAACAGAAAAGCCGCAGCACATGAATGCCATTTCGAAAGGAAAAATTGCTCCTATCAGCCAATAGGAAGTGATTAACACTGCCAATCGGAAGCACAGAAACAACCAGGTTACTCACCAAAAAGTTCCAGTTCCTTTTTTTTTTCCTCTCTCTCTTTTTTCCCCCCTCTCTTTTTGAAAGAACAGCCCAGTTGGTGGTTGAACTGGGAGGCACAGGGCATGCGGAGTGGTGACAGGCGCGAGCGGGGCCCATCAGTCTGTCATTGCAGGTGGCTTTGGCAACCTTCGCTGCTGTTTTTTTTTCCTCTCTGCACGCATGCGCGGTGCCTCTTCCATTTGGGCTATTGTAGCGAGAACAAGAGCGAATTTAACGTCTGAGCACCGTGGCAGTGACCTGCGGCTGGCAGAGCCACGCTGGGGTATCCGCTGTTTCTATTCCCAAGCTTTGGCTGGATGATGGTTGGAGCTGAGGCTGGTTGAATGAGAGTGGAGCAGTGACTTGGGCTGCAGCCCATTATGTGGACAATTAAAACGAGCTGTCTCGGGCTGTGGGAGGTTGGTTAGGGCTGGTCTCTCCATTTATAGTTGGGCAATGTTGGAGAACTTGCTGCAAAAGTGGCGGGGAATGGTGCATTTCAGGGGAAAGTCAACACCGTGCTCTTCTATGAAGTGTGGTAGCAGTAATAAAAATACTTAGGCACCTATAGCACCTTAGGTGCTATGTCTCATAAGGGTTTTGTACAGATTGACACGTATGCATTGCTGCATGTACCCCTCTTGGGTGGGTTGTGCCATTTGCTTAAGTAAAGGTGGATCAGATAGGGAGGCAGAGGGGCTGCCGTAGTCACAGAAACATCATGTGTGCCTTGTTGATGGATTTGCTACATATCAGCTTTCCATAGAGCAGAAGGATCTGCCCTCTGACAGCCGTGTTACTGGTGGGAGGCTGTGGGTCTGGGCCAGCTTGCTCAGTTGAGTCTCTCGGGGAGGAGTTGTAGCAGTGACTCTCTCCATTACTTATCTGGAGGAGTGTACGTGGGCAGGATGTCTCTCTAGGAGCTGCCCGGTATGACTGTGTTAGAGACAGAGAGGACAGAGGTGCCCTCAGACAGCAGGGTTCAAGTAGATAATTTATCCTTCTGGTATGGATGTGCTTGTAGCCTCTGCTGGAGCCCTTGTCCCATGCTCTATCTAGATGCTTCTCCTGAAGGCATCTCCAGCATTGCTGACCAGAGGAGATCCCCTCAGTGAAGGGGGTGGTTCTCTCATCATTACAGGGTGGTCCTGGCTGGGATGTCCACGAGCCTGTGGTGCCCACACTCTCCTGGGAAGCCTGGCTGGAGGTGGTGCCTGAACACAGCAGTGCAGGAAACCTGCTGAGAGTTACCTGCAGTGGCGTGTGCCCTCATGTGGTGTTGGTTTTCATGGGAGTTGAAGATTTGGCAGCTTCCAAGGAATATTCAGCACCTTGCAAGGTTGGGCCAGTAGCCACCGGGAATAATTGCATGTCTTTGCGATGGTTTTATATTGCAGTAGGAGAATTTTGGGAAGGGACTCGCATGCAGTAGGCTTGCATAAACCTTTGCGACCATGACTGCTGCAGTGCCAAATGTAAAGTGAGACAGAGTAGCCCATACTAGCAAGAGTCCTTGGCTAATCTGTGGGTGATATGAATTGCACAAGGATAAAATTAGCCACGTTTAGTGCTACAAGCTCAGGAGGTCCATGTTTTCCTGCCTGTGCCATATGGGATCGTCACCCTTGTTCTAGGGTGAAGGCTATGTCAGCACTGTGTCCTATAAGGAGACCTCTGGCACTCTGCTTTAGAAGGATGTTTGTGATTGATAAAGCAAACTGGTTGTTAGATAGAGAGACATGGGAAAGGAACTGGTAGCTATCAAGAGAAGTAAACAATAATGAAATACTTTGGTTCTTCTTGGACTGTTGCTGCTGATCAGGGAACAGCCCAGGTATTTCAGAAGCTTCTGAATCTATCCTTGCTTTTAGCCCCAGTGGAGAAACTCCAAATGGCCCTAGTCTTCGGAGTCAAACTGGAGCAGGACTGCTATAAATCTCATCATTAGGGTTATGTATTTTAAGTCCTGAGTGGACATACTAATTGGATTCTCTCCTGCCATCTTGTGAATTAGATCCTGTTCTCCTGTAAGGTGTCCAGTGTGCTAAGAGAGGACCTGGCTATGTATGACCTCCAGAGTAAGATGATGTGGAAGGGGCAAACCATGTCCTTTACCCCCCAGGGCTTGCAGGGACTCATGGAGGAGCTTGCCACATGTGAGAGGTACAGGTTGAAGACCACCACAGGGCACCACCGCATGTAGAATAGCCCAGCTTGTGTTCAGACAGCATCCGTAGCCAAAGTGGTTGGAATCATCTCAGGGAAGGGTGTAGGGGAATTGTCCAGGCTAGAAAGTGGAAAGGGTTAAAAAAAAGGGCAGCAGTGTATTTCTCTGGAACCCAGAAAACACAATCAGGCATTTAGCGCTTGTAAAATATACAGTATTTCACAAGTAAGTCCATTTCCTGTCTCCCCCATTGTTTTCGATTTGATTAAGTATATCCTGTTAAACTGTATATTCCTGTTAGGGCTTGTACTTTACTGTAAAATGAGGTTATGCGCACATACAGGGTTTTCTTTGCTAGGATTTTGGGGATGAATTCTGGAAAGATGACTTATCAGGTCTTGGCCCTTGCTCTTTGAGATGCTGCAGTGAGCCAAGTGATGTCAATAGGGAACCCAAATTTGATGAAACCAAAACTCACCAAGAGT